GTCCCCGTGTCCCCCCGTGTCCCCATCACCCACGTCCCCACACCCGGAGGTGACATGCTGATGGGTGACCACCAACCCCTGGGGGGAGGTTCAAGATGGTCAACCACCACCCCACCCCCCCCCACCTTGTCCCCAACTGTCCCACCTTGTCCCCAAGTGTCCCACCTTGTCCCCGAATGTCCCACCTTGTCGGAGGCTGCCCCAAAGTAGGAGACACGATCCCAGGTGGCCACGAAAGCCCAGGTGGGCTGTGGGACAGGGTCGGAGGGGGTGACAGCGGTGGCCAGGTCTCGCGCCAGGCGGGCCAGTAACTCCGGTTGGCGACTTTGCCGGTAGAAGACGTCTCCTCCCAGTCTGGTGTCCACGTCCGCCCAGTATGGGGCCACGAAGGGGCGGTGGCCGGGCAACGGGAAGGGCTCGGGGGTGAACTCGGGGACCCCCGTCCCAAACGACACCACTCCGTTGTTGTTCACCTGGAGGAGATAACCGTGGCCACCATGGTGGTCCTCAACCATGGTGGCCCCCAACCGTGGCGGCCCTCAGCCATGGTGGTCCTCAACCATGGTGGCCCCAAACGTGGTGGCCCTCAAATGTGGTGGCCCCAACCGAGGTGGCCCCCAACCGAGGTGGCCCTCAATCATGGTGGCCCCAACCATCCCCTAACCGGTGCGCCCCTCAGCCATGGGGGTCCTCAACCATGGTGGCCCCAAACGTGGTGGCCCTCAAATGTGGTGGCCCCAACCGAGGTGGCCCCCAACTGAGGTGGCCCTCAAACATGGTGGCCCTCAACCGTGGTGGCCCTCAACCGTGGTGGCCCCAAACGTGGTGGCCCTCAAATGTGGTGGCCCCCAACCGTGGTGGCCCCAACTGTGGTGTCACCCAACCGTGGTGTCCCCAGCCCATGGTGTCACCCAGCCATGGTGTCTCCACCCATGGTGGCCCCAACCCATGGTGTCCCCAACCCAGGATGTCCCCAACCCTGGTGTCTCCACCCATAGTGTCCCCAACCCATGGTGTCCCCACCTGTGGTGTCCCCCAACCCATGGTGTCCCCAACCCATGGTGTCACCCAACCACAGTGTCCCCAACCCACGGTGTCCCCAACCCACAGTGTCCCCAATATGTGGTGTCACCCAACCACAGTGTCCCCTACCCATGATGTCACCCAACCACGGCGTCTCCACCCATAGTGTCCCCAACCCGTGGTGGCCCCAACCCCTGGTGTCACCCAATCACAGTGTCCCCAACCCATGATGTCACCCAACCCTGGTGTCCCCAACCCATGATGTCCCCCAACCCCGGTGGTCCCCAACCCATGATGTCCCCCAACCCCGGTGGTCCCCAACCCATGATGTCCCCCAACCCCGGTGGTCCCCAACCCATGATGTCACCCAACCCTGGTGTCCCCAACCCATGATGTCACCAACCCGTGGTGGCCCCAACCCCTGGTGTCACCCAATCACAGTGTCCCCAACCCATGATGTCACCCAACCCTGGTGTCCCCTACCCATGGTGTCACCCAACCACGACGTCTCCACCCACGGTGTCCCCAACCCATGATGTCCCCCAACCCCGGTGGTCCCCAACCCATGATGTCCCCCAACCCCGGTGGTCCCCAACCCATGATGTCCCCCAACCCCGGTGGTCCCCAACCCATGATGTCCCCCAACCCCGGTGGTCCCCAACCCATGATGTCCCCCAACCCCGGTGGTCCCCAACCCATGATGTCCCCCAACCCCGGTGGTCCCCAACCCATGATGTCACCCAACCCTGGTGTCCCCTACCCATGGTGTCACCCAACCACGACGTCTCCACCCACGGTGTCCCCAACCCATGGTGTCCCCAATATGTGGTGTCACCCACCCATGGTGTCCCCAACCAATGGTGTCCCCATCCAATGGTGTCCCCAACCCATGATGTCACCCAACCACGGTGTCTCCACCCATAGTGTCCCCAACCCATGGTGGCCCCAACCCCTGGTGTCACCCAACCACAGTGTCCCCAACCCACGGAGTCCCCAACCCACAGTGTCCCCAATATGTGGTGTCACCCAACCACAGTGTCCCCTACCCATGATGTCACCCAACCACGGCGTCTCCACCCATAGTGTCCCCAACCCGTGGTGGCCCCAACCCATGGTGTCACCCAACCACCATATTGCCCCCAACCCACTGTGTCCCCAACCCATGGTGTCCCCCAACCCACGGTGTCCCAGAACACCTCCCAAACCGCGTCCCCCCCCACCTCCCCACCCCCCAAACCCGCCGTGGGGCCCGCGACCCACGTAGAGGGAGCGGTGGGGTTGTCCGTAGAAGGAGAAGGTCTCCCAGAGGAAGATCTCGGGGCTCATCCCATCGTCCTCGTGGGGGGTGGCCTCGTCCCCAACCTCCGGCCCGAAGGGGTAGAGGACCCCACCTGGGGGACAACCCTCAGCGACCCACGGCGAGGAGCAGGGCGCCCCCCAACCATGGGGCTGAGTCCCCCCAGTGGGGGCCCAAACACCTCCATGGCACTGTGGGACCTTCCGGTATGGATCTGGAAGCTCCCAGTATGGACCTGGGACCTTCCAGTACGGGCATGGGATCTACCAGTATGGGGGTGGGAACTTCCAGTATGGGTGTGAGACCTTCCAGTATGGGCATGGGACCTTCCAGTATGGGCATGGGATCTACCAGTATGTGGGTGGGAACTTCCAGTATGGGCGTGAGACCTTCCAGTATGGGTATGGGACCTTCCAGTATGGGTGTGAGACCTTCCAGTATGGGCGTGGGACCTTCCAGTATGGGCATGGGATCTTCCAGTATGGGTGTGAGACCTTCCAGTATGGTCTTGGGACCTTCCAGTAGGGTTCTGGGACCTTCCAGTATGAATCTGGGACCTTTCAGTATGGGCCTGGGACCTTCCAGTTAGGATCTGGGATCTCCCAGCATGGATCTGGGACCTTCCAGTATGGGCATGGGATCTTCCAGTATAGGTGTGAGACCTTCCAGTATGGACTTGGGACCTTCCAGTAGGGTTCTGGGACCTTCCAGTATGAATCTGGGACCTTTCAGTATGGGCCTGGGACCTTCCAGTTAGGATCTGGGATCTCCCAGCATGGATCTGGGACCTTCCAGTATGGGCCTGGGACTTTCCAGTTAGGATCTGGGAGCTCCCAGTATGGATCTGGGACAATATGGGCATGGGACCTTCCAGTATAGATCTGGGACCTTCCAGTATGGGCATGGGATCTTCCAGTATGGGCGTGAGACCTTCCAGTATGGGCATGGGATCTTCCAGTATGGGTGTGAGCTTCCAGTATGGGCGTGGGACCTTCCAGTATGGGCATGGGATCTTCCAGTATGGGTGTGAGACCTTCCAATATGGATCTGGGACCTTCCAGTATAGATCTGGGACCTTCCAGTATGGGCCTGGGACCTTCCAGTTAGGATCTGGGAGCTCCCAGTATGGATCTGGGACCTTCCAGTATGGGCATGGGATCTTCCAGTATGGGCGTGGGACCTTCCAGTATACGTGTAGGACCTTCCAGTATGGATCTGGGACCTTCCAGTATGGATATGGGACCTCCCAGTATGGGCCTGGAACCTTCCAGTATGGTCTTGGGACCTTCCAGTAGGGGCCTGGGACCTTCCAGTATGGATATGGGACCTTCCAGTATGGGTCAGGGACCTCCCAGTATGGGCCTGGAACCTTCCAGTATGGTCTTGGGACCTTCCAGTATGGATCTGGGACCTTCCACTATGGATCTGGGACCTTCCAGTATGGGTCAGGGACCTCCCAGTATGGGCCTGGAACCTCCCAATATGGAGCTGGGACATCCCAGTGGCACCCCAGAACCTCCCAGTATGGAGCTGAGACATCCCAGTGGCACCCCAGAACCTTCCCAGTATGGGTCCCCAGCGTCCCACAGTGTCCCCACTTACCCGGGGGCCCCGTGGGTGCCCCCCGTGTCCCCAGAGGTCCCCACTCATGGGTGTGGCTGAGGAGGAGGAGGAGGAGGAGAACGGGAGGAGCCGACATCTGCCCAAGGCCTGGGGGAAGGGGGGGTGAGGGGGGCTCCTCCCTCCCATCTTCAGCCGCCCGTCTGTCCTCCGCCCGTCCGTCCGTCCATCCGTCCATCCTTCATCCACCCATTCGTCCGTCCTTCATCCATCCATCTGTCCTTCATCCATCCATCCATCTGTCCTTCATCCATCCATCCATCCTTCATCCATCCATCCACCCATCCTTCATCCATTCATCTGTCCTTCATCCCTCCATCCTTCATCCCTCCATCCTTCATCCCTCCATCCTCCATCCCTCCATCCATCCCTCCATCCATCCTTCATCCATATCTCCATCCATCCTCCATCCTCCATCCATCCCTCCATCCATCCATCCATCCTCCAACCCTCCATCCATCCCTCCATCCATCTTCCATCCTCCATGCATCCTTCATTCATATCTCCATCCATACTCCATCCTCCATCCATCCCTCCATCCATCCATCCTCCAACCCTCCATCCACCCCTCCACCCACCCTCCATCCATATCTCCATCCATCCTCCAACCCTCCATCCACCCCTCCACCCACCCTCCATCCATATCTCCATCCATCCTCCAACCCTCCATCCACCCCTCCACCCACCCTCCATCCATATCTCCATCCATCCTCCAACCCTCCATCCACCCCTCCACCCACCCTCCATCCATATCTCCATCCATCCTCCAACCCTCCATCCACCCCTCCCTCCTCCATCATCCATCCGTCCTCCATCCATCCATCTATCCTTCATCCCTCCATCCATCCACCCTCCATCCATCCATCCACCCCTCCCTCCTCCATCCATCCATCCACCCATCCATCCTCCGTCCATCCATCCATCCCTCCCTCCCTCCTCCATCATCCATCCGTCCTCCCTCCATCCATCCATCCATCCTTCATCCATCCATCCATCCCTCCTCCATCCATCCATCCATCCATCCATCCTCCGTCCATCCATCCATCCCTCCCTCCTCCATCATCCATCCATCTTCCATCCCTCCATCCATCCATCCTCCATCCCTCCACCCCTCCATCCCTCCATCCATCCCTCCATCCTTCATCCTTCTGTCCATCCATCCCTCCATCCATCCCTCCTCCATCCATTCATCCACCATCCCTCCATCCCTCCATCCCTCCATCCCTCCATCCATCCCTCCTCCGTCCCTCCCTCTCCCCACGTCCCCGTGTCCCCCACGCGTCCCCGTCCCCCCCCGTCCCGTCCCGTCCCGTGCCTGTCCTTGTCCCCTGCGGAGGTCCCACGGGTCCCCTACGGCTCTCCCTGTCCCCATGTGTCCAGATGTCCCCCATGTCCCCATGTCCCCAGATCTCCCATGTCCCGCCCATGTCCCCAGATGTCCTCCAATGTCCCCCAAGTCCCCACGTCCCCAGATGTCCCATGTCCCCCCATGTCCCCAGATGTCCCTAATGTCCTCCAATGTCCCCATATGTCCAGATGTCCCCATGTGTCCAAATGTCCCCCAATGTCACCAGATATCCCGATGTCCCCTCATGTCCCCAGATGTCCTCCAATGTCCCCCAAGTCCCCACGTCCCCAGATGTCCCATGTCCCCCCATGTCCCCAGATGTCCCTAATGTCCTCCAATGTCCCCATATGTCCAGATGTCCCCATGTGTCCAAATGTCCCCCAATGTCACCAGATATCCCGATGTCCCCTCATGTCCCCAGATGTCCTCCAATGTCCCCCAAGTCCCCACGTCCCCAGATGTCCCATGTCCCCCCATGTCCCCAGATGTCCCTAATGTCCTCCAATGTCCCCATGTCCCCCAAGTCCCCATGTCCCCATGTGTCCAGATGTCCTCCAATGTCCCCATGTGTCCAGATGTCCCTCATGTGTCCAAATGTCCCCCAATGTCACCAGATATCCCGATGTCCCCTCATGTCCCTCAATGTCCTCCAATGTCCCCCAAGTCCCCATGTCCCCAGATGTCCCATGTCCCCAATGTCCTCCAATGTCCCCCTATGTCCCCAGATGTCCCCAATGACCTTCAATGTCCCCAAGTGTCCAGATGCCCCCATGTCTGCCCCCAATGTCCCCAGATGTCCCCCCATGTCCCCGTGTCCCCATGTGTTCAGATGTCCCCCATGTCCCCTCCCACGTCCCCCAACGTCCCCAGATGTCCCCCAATGTCCCCGTGTCCCCTCATGTCCCCCAATCTCCCCCGTGTCCCCCCAGGTCCTCTAATGTCCCCCGTGTCCTCCATGTCTCCAGATGTCCCCCAATGTCCCCATGTGTCCCCATGTCCCCAGATGTCCCCACCTGCCCTCCCATGTCCCCAAATGTCCCCCGATGTCCCCTCATGTCCCCAATGTCCCCCAATGTCCCCCCCCAATGTCCCCATGTCCCCCCCCCGATGTCCCCATACCACCCCGATGTCCCCACATCTCCCAGATGTCCCCATGTCCCCTGGTGTCCATTGGTGTCCCCATGTTCTCCCGGTGTCCCCATGTCCCCTCACTGTCCCCCTGGTGTCCCCATGATCCCCATCCCCTCAGTGTCCCCATAGTGTCCCCATGTCCCCTGGTGTCCTCTGTCCCCTGGTGTCCCTCAGTGTCCCCATGTTCCCCTGATGTCCCCCTGATGTCCTCATGTCCCTGATATCCCCATGTCCCCTGGTGTCCTCTGTCCCCTGGTGTCCCCATGTCCGTCCCCCTGATGTCCCCACATCCCCCCGGCGTCCCCATGTCCCCGATGTCCCCTCAGTGTCCCTGCTGTCCCCAGGGTGTGGGACGTCGGCCACCACTGAAGGTGGGGGAGCTGCAGCCGCTGGCCGAGGGGCCGG